CATGCCTTTTAGCCTGATGGCCGTGATTACTTATTATTTGCTCAACAGATATATTTACTTTGCATAATATGAACAATATGTATTTGTGCCTGCTCAGCCCCGCAGATACAACAAGAGCCTTGCCTACGAATAGCTAAACAGGGCAAAACCTCAGCCCAGCAGGCATTGCATACCCATGCTTCACCTACAATGTCACCTACTACCATAGTACCATTACACCTAAAAAGGTAACATTTCCAAGCTATTTCGTTACTTTACTAGCATATACTGAGGTAGTTCCTTATTTCCTAAACAATCATCAGTTCATCTGTTCAGCATATATATTTTTTCCATCAGCCCAGCAGCACAAACACTTGCATCATCTCACAGATGCCAAATTAGTATCTTTGTCCTCCCTTATAACTGTCACCGTTTTCTTAATAGTACTCCATGATGCTATGTACAAATGACAGTTGCTGTCTTCACAGGATGCAAACATATACAAGCTGGAACCACGTACTTTCTAAAAGGAAATCCAAACCATATGAAATAATTGATACATCCAGGTAATACAGTGTCATTGCTGTAACCATTGTCCCTAAAACATCTCTGTCTTCAAACACTGTCAATCATTACATATTACTTATACAATTATTGTTGTGGAGATAACAGGCTACACAGTGCAGTACCAGGTGCACACTACAGATTACCCTTTCCCATGAAAAAGAGTAGCTCACCTTAAGCAATTTACCTTTTCTATCGAACACATTCTCCTTCAGTTTGACTACAGAGTTGCCTTTTATTTGTGCATGTAGTTCACCAACTAAGGTCCAGTTTAGTTTGCAAAAAATAACAACGAAAACGCTACAGTACTCATTTTGCAAAATTTTTTGCATCTAAGGCCCTGTTTGGTTGAGCTGTTATTCGTTTATTTATGGAAAAGGCTAAAACTAAGTAATGTCAAAGAGAAAAGTCTTGTTTGGTTAAACAAGTATAAAATATACCTTTTATCTTTATCTCTCTTGAAACAACTATGTAAGAGCTTTTTATTCCACCAATTTCAAAAAGCGTAAAAGCCAAAAGCCAAAAAAGCATCAAACCGGCTTTCAAAAAATGAACACTAAAAACAAATTCTTGAAAAAGAACCCTTAGATTCAGCTTTTTTGTTCCAAAAGCCAAAAGCCCAACCAAACAGGGCCTAAACAAGCCCTAAATGAAGGCCATCTCATGCATTCATATCCTAAAGGCAGTTGATGTTATTCGTTTTTGGTAGTGGAAGCTCTTATAATAACATCCGGCTTCATGACAGCAAGGTTCAGTAGGCAAATCGCCATGTTGCTGCATCCCAGGACGTCCAGAGACACTAAATAAATAAATTGAACTATAGATTCAGAATTTTGTTCCTTTCAAGTCTCGCTACATGGCCTCTGTTCATCTGAGCATTGAAAATACTCCTATACTCTTTCATGTGTAAATTAACTAACTATAAACCATGCTCTCTTGGAATTCTCTGAACCCATCATTAAATGACTGTATACCCGAGGAACATCCTGTGACAGTTTCCGTTTATTCTATGACGGTAAAGCTAATGGGGTAATGGCCCACATTGGCATGGGTGCGTAGAGCAGTTGCGCACGCGGCGGAGCGCGTGTATCGTGCTAGTTTAATCTGATCAGACACAAGAACAACCCAGGCGCCACTGACGGGTGTTGATGATCCATCAAATGGTTCTGCTCTAGAAACATGTATCCATGTGATACCTCACCAATTATCATTCCACAACAAAAATAATAGAAATCAAATCAACGGCTGGCTGGAAAAACAGCTAATACTGATGCGGATTTATTGTGAGAGAAAAATACCGTTATTTCACTGAAATGGTACGGCTCATAAGTTTAAGCGAACATGGCCAATATGTGTTTTGGTAATAATCATAGGATGAGATCATTTTCAGAAAAAAGAACATACTCCCTCCGCGTTGTGACTTCTAAAATTTATACTAAAATATAGTGCATTCTATGCAATGACTATGCTTAGATTTGACAAAGTTTATTAAAAAGAAAATCATAATTTGGGGAGAAACTCCTTAATTAGATATAATGCATGGGTACATGCGTCATTTGAGTGTTTCCTTAAGTTGTCTTTAAACTTTAAAATACACTGTATTACAGGGCACATGAAGTACATAGATCATGAAAAGTGATCTTAAAAATGTAATATGTGCCTAAAGGGTAAATTTAAGCAAGTATGTTCTAAAAGTTAAATGACGACTGCATTCCAAATTTCCCTAAAATAAAGGAGTTAGTTGGTTCCTACCTCATCATAAAGCTATTCTTAGAATTTTATAAGTACAAACCCATAATTATGGATGGTAAACAAAATCCAAGCAACACATAATAGTAAGTGGTATATAAATCAAATTGAAGTGAAGCAAAACTCTGATGCATGGTAAATTAAAGTGAAAATATTGTATCCACCATGTTTTGTTTATGAGCCTGTCATGTGCTGTGAATTTCATCATTTCGTACAAAATTTATATGCTCGCAACAAGGCACGGACTAATATCTAGTTATGAGTCATGTATAAAGCTCTCCCTTTTGACAAAAGAAAGAAAAAATGGACTGAAAAAAAAAACATGAAAGGAAAAGCTCTGAAAATGTAATTATAATAATAATAACATACAAATGTGCTGCTCCATTGCAAGTGAGCTAGCTAACGATAGACGAGTAGAAGAAATAACAGCCCAAATAAACTATTGGGCCTTTTGAGCCGTGTCTTGCTCTTTGCAACAACTACAATAGCATTGAAATTCAGCAGTCTAATTCATTTTGAGAAGGAGCATGGAGAAGCCAGAGCTTAGGGTTGGTTGGAACTCCACCAAACAGCGCTAGTGCTTGGATGACACATTGAATACACATGTGTGCTGCTTGTGAGAGTGGGATACACAAGTGTGCTGCTTGTGAGAGCGCGAGTTCTAGCAGTTAGAGTGCGAGTTATGGGAGTTTATCATTTTCTTCCTCCTCATAATTTTTATTTATGGGATAAAATAGGTCGATATACCACGACCTCATTCCTCACAAGTTATTCAAGCAGTCATACCACTAAAATGAAGAATGAACTCATCATAATACATTATCCCATTTAGGATGGGATGGTTTTCTTAAACTTAACACTTAGGTCCCATCCTATCTTCATCCTTCCCGTTCATTTGACCCGGAGGAATATATATAGGCGGTGCTCTACCATTAGTAGGAGTGGAGGCGCAATTGAAAATGTTATCATCTCATCTCTACTCTTAAGTATAGCACTACACCTCATCCTTGCAACGAAGCACGTAACAGTTTGCGCATTTGACTAAATTAACTCTCAAAGCTCAAAACCTAGATGCATCTTTCGTCTTATATACCATCTTTGTGAAATAGAAGCTCCAAATTAAGAGTGTGTTTAATGGGATCTAGATTCTCGTAGAAACGTTTCAAATCTAGATTCTTTTAAGAAACGCTTCAGATGGTTAATCAGAATCGTTTTATGAAATTGTTTGGATAGTAGGCTAGATTCTGATTCATAAAAATATATATTCTTAAAAATCATATATAAAAAAATATGCTTCTAAAAAATATTAATTTTGTATGGATGAAAAACAACTTAAATGCAATCACATTTTAGCTTGTTGCACTAAAAAATATTATAACGGAAAGAAATACAATTAGTAGCATAGAAGGGAGAGAAGAGAATCACGGTAAAAACAACATATGGTCGTTTCAAGAGATAGTGAAGAAAACGAGAATTGTTTCAAGGAGAAACGGAAACGGTTCACTTTGCTCCAAGTGTGTTTGGAACTGATTCTCGTGATTCCGACTAGAAACTGAAATGTTTCGAGTATCCAAGCTGACCCTGAGCCTATCTGAACCGGAGGGATTTCATCCGATGAGATGTCATTGTATTTTAAAATGTGCCAAGTGTGTCATCTTGAAAGCAGGGGCTTGATGAACAAGTTTAAAATCTAGAATGTTCGTTATTACTTGACCACATGTTTGTCAAAAAAAGGAAAAAAAATTGACAGACATGGTTGGTTAATATCCTATGGATTGTCTAGTTTTAAGAATGGATGATGCATCATTTTCTTACCCCTCGTACTTTTGTTTGGTTTATGGAATAAAATGGTTAGATTCGCAATACCTTATCACTCATTGGCTAATAATTGAAACTAGTTTGGCCATAACTTATTTGGTAAAGCTAAATCACTTATGCAAAACATTTGGCAAAATGTTTTTCTTTTCTTTTCAGGAAGATGGAGAAATAAGAAAGCGGGAGAGTCATACCGACATATAAACCTATAAAATTCGTAGAATGAACTTACAATAGACCACCCAAAACCCAAAAGTAAGCGAGGAAAGGTTGCCACATCTGCATATTCCTCCTAATTCGCTCCTAAGACTTGATCCAAAGCCGTTTGACAGCGCTCTTTGAAACAGTTTCTTCGTGATAAGAATAATTTTTCCATTTACACTAGGTGGTGGAAGCTAAAAAAACGCTTCTCACTCCTCATTATTTAATTCTCACCAAAGTCATTCCAAAGTCCAAACCAATTCACACCTATTCGGCTATTCTCCATCAGAATCACTCTATTAAAAAATCAAGAAGTTAAAGCTAAAATTCAAGAGAGTAGAGCTCTATAAACAGGCCTCGCTTTCTGCTCCAAAAGAGGCAGGTAGGCATCACCGCAGCAGCACATTCGGTAGCGAAAGAAGTAACGAGGTGCGGCGCCCCTTCGCCAACCACTACGCTGGATAGCACAGTTGCAAGAGATACACGAAATGATATATAAGCTTTGCGCCAATAACGATGGGATTGATTAAGTACACAAAAAAGATAGCTCTGGCCTCTGGCTCAGGTAGCGAGACGACAACAGTGCGTATGCACGTAGGCGAAGTACACGGGCGAATTAGGTAATGACCTGCCTCTCCAACAAGTACTAAAAATCACTCTACTTAGGCTATGAACGCTGCGAGATGTCTCAGCTACATGAGCAGGCTTCGGATGACAGCTGCCTGCGCGCTGCTCATGTCGGACGTAGCCAGCAGCTCCGACAGCCTCTCGCTCAGGTCGTCCACCTCCTGGTGCAAGCTCCTGATGTAGTTGCATGTCTCCTGCAACACCCTCGCAGATGGCACCTGCATGGGCAAGACGGCAAATTAAAGGGAGAACAATTTACCGGACCGTCAGCTCAAGCTCATGCCACACGAAGCAAATAACTTGTTGACGCGTGATTACAGCGCGTAATTGCATGGAATGCTTCATATAATAGAGGCAGAGGCCATTCAACTTTGACTGGCAATTTTGGCCAATTCGGTTGTTGTAACAACTAACAGGTCGGCAGTGGGTATCACCGTATCAGATCGTTTTGTAGGCCTCAATGTAGTGAATGCCACATGGTAATGACAATTTACAGCTCAACTGTGATCACAGCTAACCTAGCTAGAATTTCTGTTAACCAATTCAGCTCATAAAGTAGTGGTAATGATAATGAACTTCAGTTACATACTCTAGCATTGCTCTGAAGGCGAGCTTCGGGGAGGAGGTCCTGCAGCTTTGATACAAGGTCGCTGATTTGCTCCTCAGTGATCCTCGACGAACCAGACTGCCTAGACCGTGACCTCCGGCTCGACATCTTGGTTGATGTGGTTGTCTGGGAGATTGGGGAAAGAAGTTTTGCAAGAGATCAAGAAACAAACTGAGATGTTTGGAGTGAGGCAAGCAAGTTTGAGATACACAGGTGATGAAATGGTAGTCAAGGACTGGAGAGAAGCTTATTGAAGGAGGAAGACAAGTGCATGGGAGAAGAAATGGGCAGGTGGTGGGTGTTAAATAGTACTACCTAGCTGCACAGGAGAACCCCAAAGAGCAGGCAAGATGGAGCGAGCTTCCCGTGGCACTAAGACAGTATAAATTCCAGCTCAAGTCCCTGACCCATAGGGACAAAGTACCAGGTGGCCCAAATTATAGATTCACATGTAGGATATTCTTTCGTGAAAGCTAGACTGTAAATATTTTAGAGAGAGAGGCCATACCCATACCAACGAGCTTGCGTCACTGTTGTGTTGCATGGCGCTGCAAGTGGGAGAGCCTCTGATCAACAGGATATGAAGAAATGCCAGTGAGAAAGCCGACTTGGAGGCCAGAACTGTCAGAAGGAACCACACAAGCCATGTTACTTGACCTACCAAAATATGCGTGTTAATTGTTTTCGCCCCATATTATGTATTTAATATATGCACATGAACAAACAACAGTGGCTCTACAGTTACTGGTAGATGAGGTTGTGGACAACTCTCTTTTTGTGTCTCGATAGAATTCAGTACACATCCATGCACACCATGAATCTATTGCCTTCCTAAGCAGGAGGAGATTAAACCCATGGCCCACACGAAATCCATTCACTACTCACGATTACAGTCAATATGCATTTGCATCCCAGGCACCGTGTATTCTAATAGGACTGGCGTGTTTGAATACAGTTCAGTTCAGTCTATAGTCAAATGAGGAAATTAGCATCATTAAACTTTATTCCCTATAAAAATTGCTCTTGCATCATATATTAAGACATAACCACTATACATGATGGTGAAAACATCAGCTTCTTTCCAAAATAAAATGATAAAATCATCAATTGCTGGACACATAGAAACAATTGTGCAGTGAAAAGATCTGAGTGTTAAATACCTCACACTGTATATCAGATTCAGCAGTGTTCTGATGCAGACTGGTCTATCCGATACTTTGGCACCAATAGCCCATGTCTTGCGGCGCCTCATGATCAATACAGGTATGGGTCACATAGTCAATTTTAATTTACTGTTCTCCTCACACTATAAGGAAATGTTGCTTCCAATGCTGGCTATCAATGAATATGATCCCTGCACAGTTCAAATGAATTATTGCATTGCAAAAATAACTTTTACAAGCAACCGTGTAAAAAAACAGTTTTCTTATATGATGCCTTTGGCGTCAAACTGTAATCGGCTTTGTTCTTAGTAAAGTTGGCGTGCAGTATAATAAATCAAGCTTTTGAAAGAAAAAATGTATAGAAAGGCTGGAAAATTGATAAGAGCATAAGTGGTAATGATAAAGGCTGTCTAACCATGCAGCTCATAAAGTGGTAATGGTAATGAGAAAATGTATAGGGGTAGGCATGAGTGGTAAACAAAATAAATTAATCTCATTGCTAAGATGGTGGGATTTGCAATACAACAGATTTGAACAATTAGCATTGCATAATAATTTTAGCTCCAATGAGCTATAACTTAACCCTGAGAGTAAGAAAGATAAAGGCAACTCAACTCCAATAAACTATTGCCTGGAAAAATAGTATATGTAAAAAAGCATATAATAAATACGTCCTTCCAAGGAAACAATTGATGCACATCTCAGAAGAATCATGGTAAGCTTTGACCAGTCAATGCTACACAAGCTATAGTGCAACTACCAGCTGTAGTACAAGATTTTTTGTTCTTTTAATGACAAATGATGCTAGTGTGATAAGATTAGCCCTTCACAACCTCCAGAATCTTAAGAGAGAAGCATTAGAATGTGATCTTACAGTGTAATCATGTGCAATGCATATGCATTTGTACTTGCATTTTTTCATACTGTTTTCTCTCGAACTCCTAAAGCAAAGCATACCTGCAAACTAAAAGTTTTCTGATGTGGACTGAACAAAAGCAAATCGGAATAAAATAAAAAGTCAGAGCAGAACATATATAGTTTCCAGACAGTTTAATGCCATTGGTCATGTTAGTGTAATGTAAGTAGCATGTATAAAACTATGCCACAAGCATAGTGGGAGATGTTGCTAGAAAAATAGCATTTAAAATCCAATTAATGATTATGCCTCGATCTCCATAAGCTTGATGGGGATCTAGGGTTGCATGATAATGTTGGGGAAACTTAATAGTAACAAGTGGAATAGTTCATGGCATTGAACAGCTAGATTTGGAACTACAACTTTATTTGCCATACAAATCCAATGCCTGTTTCTGAAGGCATAGCGCTATGTTCTGTACAGATGTAGTTCTTAAAGCATTATATCCTGATGCTACCAAACTGCATGTACTAGTCATTTACTCTCAAAACGTAGAAACATTATAGTTCTTTGTTCTTCTTTTGACAGATTACTGTAGGAAATTGTAGCCCTCAAATGAAGGTGGCTTAAATCTCACCAGTTATTTCTATTTAGAGTACTCTTCTATTTATATAGATACAGTACCTGCATGGTGTAGTGTCAGATATATTCGATCATGACGAATTAGTGACATAGGAGGAGCACAATAGTTATAGAGAATAAATATCTCGTTAGGCTAATAAAGATCTAATTAGACAGCCAATGACAGCATATAGACACAGAACAAATTCTCATTGTCTCTTGAATATTCAATTCACACGATCTACTGCCACTAGTAATATAATCCTAGATCATTAGGTGCTGCCTGTTTAGAAAATTGACACATTGACCCTAAACCCTAGACTCAATAGCATACCATAGCTATGTAATGAACTTAATTACAATCAAAAGACCTGCATATAGTACCAATTGCAGGGTAAAGATACTATGGAAGGGACCATGTAGCTCTTAAGTATGATATTAATTCATATAATATGCCAAATCGCCAATCAAAACCAGCTAGTGGGAGATGATCAAAGTGTATCCTGATGGCAGCACGTCTGACGGAGCACATGTAGCTGAATCCAATTAGTTGGAAACACCATACAGGTTGTCACATGGACACGATTTAATTTATGCAGAACACCTTCAGCCCCACGCAAGGTCACACACACACACGTTCACTCACTTGCAACCAAGTGAGATCAGTCTTTTGTTTAAGCTTACACTTGATCAAGGGACTGAATCAACAGTACTGCCTATCTACTAAAAATTAGCCAAGTAGGCCTTGCCTACTACACAGATGGCATCACATGGATTATCTTAGCATATATCACTACATTAACAAGCTCCCACATGCTTCACTTATTTTTAATCTGTCACCCTGTTTGTGCGTAAAGTTTGAAAAGGCTTATGTGAATCATGTGGACCAAGTAATCTGTACAGCAGATCAACCAGGGACAGTGATGACTGATGAGGCCTCATGGTCTGATACTGAAAAGATCCTCAAGAGGATGGTCAAGTTCAGGAATGATTGCGATATGTGGGGTTATAAAAAGTAGCATTTCACACCACAGCACTGACATGATTTGGCCATCACTAGTAAAATCCCTTAACTGACAATCTCTACAGCATGATGAAAGTGTCTTAGAACACTTCTGTAACAAACTTCATAAATATCTCAAATTGGTTTATGCTATCACCACATGTTGTCAGTCGTCACAGCTTGTAAATCACTGAACAGAGTAAAATTCTGATTCCTGAATGAAAGTAGATCATACCTATGACACTTTCAAGGATATACATAGGCAACACATTGGAAAATTTTACCAAATTTGAGTTCGTTACACCAGAAGCTTCCACTCTACATAACCACCAGGCTCCTTAACCAGGGTTATAAAATGACAGGTATTACTCTGACACAAAAGGTATCATCTTATCTGGAGATACTGAAGGTCAGCTGTCTTTAATTGAAAACACTGTCAAAATAATACACCCACTTCTGCGAAATCCAAGACCTACTTAACAATGAATATTGAAACAAGAGATCTGACAACGTTATGTGCTAACAGCCAAAAGAATACAGTATAGCTATTTGAATTAACAAGGAAAAGAATCCAGATCTTGCTGCAGAACCTCAACATGCTCATCATTGAAAGCTAGATTATACTAGGGTGGGCAGTTGGTACACGAGAGATAGAATAAAAGCTTCTAGACCAAAGCTACTATTTGAAAGCATCTTTGGTTTTAGGTATAATCACTAATCAGCAGCCAAATATGTACCCTACTCTTAAAGTTGAGGGTGGAAGTTTCCCTCAAAAAAAAAAAAGTTGAGGGTGGAAGTTATTAAGGTATGATTGTGGTCTTTGTAACTCACGTGGGAGTCGATGAAAGTACAGCTACATGAAAAGAGCTCCTAAACAGACAAGTAAAAAATAACACATCAAGGTGACTGCTACCAAATTTGTGTGCAATTAGGGTTAAATAACAATGTCTTCATGGCTAATGATGCAGGATAAGTAAATATGTAACTAACATCCATAAAGCTGGATCATGGTCATATGAGATAGAGAAAGAAGAGTAGGGGAAGTGAGTCTGAGGGAAGGAAACAACTGAGGGCAAGTGCGCATCTTGACACCAAAAGTGTATAGATCCTTTGATCCATGCACATTGAAGCCAGCATGTTTGAATTATTTGGTATGGTAGATCAATATTCGTTCCATCAAACCAAACTACTGCAAGTGGGGCACCGTAAGTATAATTGCATAGAGCATTGCCTCATATATGAAGGGGTATTCTGTAGTAAGGTCAGAGATGAAATCAGTTCCCTTTTATTTGACTCAGGCATGGTTATGGTTTGCTCATCTCACTGCAGACAATATCAATATTGCAGCTTGATTAGCTTTTCATATGATAAAGGTTCAGCGTAGCAGGCAATTGCTAATCGGTGTTATCATGAAAACCCCAAAATAGAAGTAAAGATATCCAAAAGGAGACCATTTATGTTGTCT